AATGAAACACTGCCTAGTCCTGTGCCAGCCTCACAATCCTTGCTATACCTGAGTCCATCATTGCAGCCACTGTGTCAATCCATTTCATTGGGGGCCTTTCCTATTTTAGCTGAACCTCCACTTTTCCAAGTTTGATATCCTTCTCCAAGGAATGGTCCCTTCTGACAACATGACCAAAGTAAGTGAGACAAAGTCTGGCCATTCTCACTTCCAAGGAACATTCTGGCTCCACTTCTTCAAGGACAGATTTGTTACTTTTTTGAAAGTCCATAGTACTTTCAGTATTCTCCACACCACAACTCAAAATTATCAACTCTTCTTCAGTCTTCCTTGTTCATTGTCCAGCTCTCACATGCATATGAGGTGATTGAAAATACCATGGCTTGGGTTAGGCACATCTTCATCTTCAAGGAGACTATGGTGCTCTTCAGCACTTTAAAGAGGTCTTTTGCAGCAGATTTGCCCAGTGCATTACACCATCTGACTTCTTGACTTCTGCTTCCATGGGTGTTGATAGTGGAACCAAGTAATACAAAATCTGTAACAACTTCAATTTTTTTTCTCCACTTATTGTGATGCTGCTTATGGGTCCAGTTGTGAGGAAAGCTTCTTATTGGTCTAGTTGTGAGGATTTTTGTTTTCTTTATGGTGAGATGTAATTCATACTGCAGACTGACGTCTTTAATTTTCATCAGTGAGTGCTTTGAGTCATCCTCACTTTCAACGAGCAAAGTTGTGTCATCTATGTATCACAGGTTGTTAATGAGTCTTCCTCCAATCCTGATGCCATGCTCTTCTTCATATAGTTCAGCTTCTCAGATTATTTTCTCAGCATACAGATTGAATAAACATGGAGAAAGGATACAACCCTGACAAATTCTTACTGATTTTAAACCATGCGATATCTGTTCTAATGACAACCTCCTGGTCTACGTACAGTTTCCTGATGAGCACAATTAAGTGTTCTGGAATTTCCATTCTTTTCAATGTTATCCATAATTTGTTAAGTCCCACACAATTGAACGCTTTTGCACTATCAATAAAACACAAATAAACATCATCTTGGTATTCACTGCTTTCAGCCAAGATCCATCTGACATCATCAATGATATCCCTCATTCCACACTTTTCTGAATTCAGCTTACTTTTCTGGAAGTTCTCTGTCAATATTACTGCTACAACCATTTTTGAATTATCTCAGGAAGATTTTACTTGCATGTGATATTAATGACATTGTCCTATAATTTCCACATTCTGTGGGATCACCTTTCTTTGGAATGGGTACAAATATGGATCTTTTTCAGTCAGTTGCCCAGGTAGCTGTCTTCCAAATTTCTTGGCACAGCATCCATTTGTTGAAACATCTCAATGGGTATTCCAGAAATTCCTGGAGGCTTGTTCTTTGCCACTTCCTTCAGTGCAGGTTGAACTTCTTTCTTCAATACCATTGGTTCTTGGTCATATGCTACCTCCTGAAATAGATGAACATTGACCAATTCTTTTTGGTACAGTGACTGTGTATTCCTTCCATCTTCTTTTGATATTTCCCGCATTATTCAATATTTTGCTCATAGAACCTTTCAATATTGCAACTCGAGGCTGGAATTATTTCTTCAGTTCTTACAGCTTGAGAAATGCCAAGTGTGTTCTTCCCTTTTGGTTTTCTAACTCCAGGTCTTTGGATATTTCATTATAATAATTGACTTTGTCTTCTTGAGTTGCTCTTTGAAATCTTCTATTAGCTTGTCTTTTCTCCATTTTTTTTTTTTTAATAATGAGAAAAAATTCAAGTCAATAACCTAATCTTCCACTTTAAGACATTGGAAAAGAAACAAATTCAATCTAAAGCAAGCATAAAGAAGTGAAATAATAAAGACTATAGTTGATTTAATGAACTAAAGAAGAAAGAACAATAGAGGAAATAAATGAAATGAAAAGCTGATTCTTTATAAAGATTAAGAAAATTGATAGACATTTAGCTAGACTGACCAAGAATAAAAGAAAAGTAAGAGGATTCAAATTACTAGAATCAGAAGTAAAAGGGAGAATATTAGTACCAATTTTAGAGAAATAAAAGAATTATGAAGGAATACTATGACCTGCCAATATATATTAGACCTCTTACATGATATGGACAAATTCTTAGAAGACACAAAAAAAATTCTGAAATTTAATCAAGGAGAAATAAGCAATCTGAATAGACCTACAACAAATAAAAAATAGTAAAGCAGTAATCACAAATCTCTCAACAAAGAAATATCCAGATCCACATGATTATCTGGTAAATTCTAGAAAACACTGAAAGATGAATTAATACCAATTCTTCACAAATGCTTCCAAAAAATAGAAGAGGAGGAAATACTTCAGAACTCATCTAATGGGGCCAGTATTATCATGATTCCAACACCAAACAAAGACTTTGTAAGAAAAGAAAACTATTAGTCAGTACTTCTTCAAATAATAGTTACAAAAATCCTCAAGAAAATGCTAGCATATCATCTCAGTAATATATAAAAAGGATTGTATGCCATGACCAAGTGGCATATATCCCCTGAAAGGAAGGTTGTTTTAAAAGTCACATCAATAAATAAAAGACAAGAGAAACAGATCATCATGAAAAATGCAGAAAAAACATTTGACAAAAAATATAAAGTCCTTTCATGATAAAAACATTAAAGAAAAACTAGGAAGAAAAAGAAATATGGGAAAGAGCATTTATGAAAAACTCAAAGCTAATATTATACTTAATGATGAAGACTTCATTCTTTTCCCTTAAGGTAAGAAAAAAAATAATGAAATCTGCTTTCACCACTGCTATTGAACATTGTAGTGGGATTTTAGTTAGGGGAACTAGTCAAAAAGAGACAGACTTCCATATTGGAAAGGAAACTGTAAAACTATATTTGCAAACAACATGATCCTGTGTATAGAAAATCACTGTATTTCACTTTAAAAAAAAATTAGAATAAATGAGTTTAGCAAGGTTCTATGACACAAGCTTAATATGTAAAAATCAACTATATATCTACACAGCAGCAATTATGAAATAAAATTAATGAAATTAATATAATTATATGCACAGTAGTCCCAAAACTAGTAACATATTTAGGAATAAATTTAAATAAAGAACTATAAAACTTATACTCTGAAAGTGGCAAAATGTTGTTGAAAAAATATAAGGATGGCCTAAATAAATATAAAATTAATTTTTTTCATGAAACAGAGACTAAATATTATTAATATGATAATATTCTCCAAAATAATATACAGATTCAAGTCAATCCTATAAAAATCTCAAGTGGGTTATTTCACATATATTGACAAGTTGATCCCAAAACTTACTGTATACTCCAAGGACCCAGAATAGCTAAAACAATCTTGAGAAAGAACAAAGTTACAGGGTCCACACTTTCTGGTTCTAAAACCTACTTACTACAGAGAAACTGTCAGTGTTGTACTGGCAAGAATACACACATGTACCAATGGAATAGAATTGAGAGCTCAGAAGTAAACCTTTACATTCAGAGTCAAAAAGATTGCATGACAACTAAATGGGGAAAGGATAGTCTTTTCAACAAAGGGTGCAGGGACAGCTGGTATCCACATACAAAAATATGAAATTGGACTACTACCTCACACCATATGCAAAAATTAACTCAAAATATATCAAAGAACTAATTGAACAAGCCAAAACTCAAAACGCTTCAAAGAAAAGATAGGTGTAAAACTTTATGTTCTTGTATTAGGCACAGTTTCTAGATATGATACCAAAAGCATCAGTAACAAAAGAAATGATAGATAAATTGGGCACCATAAAAAAAAATTAAATCTCAATAAAACTATTAAAGAAAAATATGATGTGTTCAACATAATTAATCATTAGGGAAGTACAAATCAAAAGTACAATGAAAAACCACTGCATACTTATGATAATGGCAATAAATGTGTTTGTGTGTACACATACACACACATATATACACATATACATACATATACAACTAAACCAAACTCACTACCATTGAGTTGATTCCAACTCGTAGTGACCCCCATTGGGTTTCCAAGGCTGTAAAACTTTATGGAAGTAGATTGGCCCACCTTCCTTCCTTGGAAGGTTAGCAGTCAAATTCCCTAGGCTCTGTGCCACCAATCCTCCATATATATATTTGTTGTTTTGTTTTGTTTTGTTTTTTGTTGATTAAAAAAAAACAAAAAAACTGCCCATACTTAGTGTTGGAGTAATTGAACCCTTGCACATTGCTGGTGAGAATGTAATTTGGCAAATATCTGTTAAAAACATTTTAATTTAGTTTTTTATTCATGGGTTTGTGTCTCTAATGGACTGACTGTTCTGAGGGAAGGCATTGAGATTTACGCAACCCCTGAGCCAACTAGTGCTCCTTGGTGAGTCATTGCTTATAAACATGCATGGATTAGATAGATGTAACTGAAGAAATCCACAGTCGTGCACCTGGAAGCTAAATTTGGATTCTTCCCAAATTCTTTCCAGTTAATACCTACTTCTGGGGGTCTGCACACGAAGCCAAGGTCACATATGGTATGAATAAATCAAAACTCTATGAAGGTAAGGCCCACATCAAGCCAGGACCACATCTAGCCTTTTCACTGAGTAAACCTTTTCACCAGCAAAATGGCTGCGTGGACTAGTCATGCAATGAATGTAGGTTGGTTTAGTTTGTTTGTGAAGAAGGTAAAAGAATAGGAACTATTTCATTACCCTATTTTTATATATCAAGATATTTCTTATATAATAAGAAATTACATTCTGAAGAATAGAGAAAGCTGTACCATAAATGCACAGTTATCCCACACAAGCTGCAGTGAAACTAAGCTTTCAACATCTGAACTGTAACCTTTCTGTCAATTTATACTCACACCCTCCTAAATCTCTTTCTATCCAACTTTTTAAACATAGAGTTTTTGAATGAGAAATGATGACATTCCTTGTCCCTGGAACAGAAATACCCAAACTCATTCTGTACTTACAGTAGTCAGGCAGCTGTCTCAGAGTCTCGTGGTGCTGTGGCTCTAACATGGCTCCCGAGGCACACTGGGATTTCTTTTTGGAATCTTGCAAAAGCATCAAAAATACCTTTTAGCAAGTAAAAAAGAATTTAGTGTTAATTTGTTCCTTTCCACATCACATTTCTTTCTTTCCTCTTTTTATTACCCAAACAAATCATTGTAATGATGGACACCAAAGAGATACACACACATTCATTTAATTGGCATAATTCCAAGGCTACTTCATCCTTGGCAAGCTTGTGATCAGGAAGCTCATAGGATACAAAGATGAATCCCATTTGGTCATGCATCCCAGGACAATTATGTTCTGGAAGAGGATCTCACATCCACAGTCAGGAGCACACAGGAGGGGATCAATCAAGAGGCTTTGTCAGAAATACGTGTGTCCAATATAATTCACGTGCATGATTTCTTGCATCTTAGAAATTCAAAGCCAATAAATTCATGCTGCTTACAGTTTATTGAAGGTAGGTAGGACCTTATATGTGAAAATCCCCACTGATTGTGTGCTGTACATGTGCTATGATACACCATGCTATCAAAAGCAGTTAGTTTTAATAACTTGCTTGAAGTCAGCATTTGATTATTGCTAAAAGCATAAATTCAACCTCAGTTTGTTAAATTCCAAATATAGCAAAAGTGAGAGGATGAAGAGAAGCTAACAGAGACAAAGGGAGAGGAGGTAGGTTGGAGACATGGAAGCCCCGAGCTGTACCTGGAACTTTGGCAAGGATTGTCTTGTAATGCTAGGAAGATCATGCTTAAAATAAACATTGGACAGAGAACTAGAATAGGGGTAATTTGGATAAATTAAATACCAGAAGAGCCCGAACCCTGAGTCAGCACAGTGCCATAGTTAAGGGCCCAACCATAGACTCTGAGAGCAGAAGCTCCACCCTAGACAAACCTTGGGGCTAGTTCTGTGACACAGGTATGAGACCTAACCTCTCTGTACTTGGGCTAGCTCAGGGTAACATATGGAGTCACCATGAGTCCATAGCTGACTCTAACACAGCTAACAACAACAATAATAATAATTACTAATTGCTGTCAAATAGACTGACTCATAATACGGTTGCTGTTCTTAGGTGCCGTCAGGTCAGCTCCGACTCATAGTGACCCCAGAAAGAAACACTGCCCAGTCGGGCACTATCCTCATAGTACCTGCTATACATGAGCCCATTGTTGCAGCCACTGTGACAGTACATCTTTTTGACAGTCATTCTTTTGTTGCTGATCCTCTAATTTACCAAGCATTATATCCTTCTCCAGGGAATAGTCCCTTCTGATAACATGACCAAAGTAGGTGAGATGAACTCTGGCCATTCTAGCTTTCCAAAGAGCATTCTGGCTGCACTTCTTCAAGGACAAACTTGTTCTTTCTTCTATCAGTCCATGGTATTTTCAGTGTTCTTTGCCAAAACAACAATTCAAAGGCATCAACTCTTCTTCAGGCTTTCTTATTCTTTATCCAGCTTTCGCATGCCTATGAGGCAATTGAAAATACTATGGCTTGGGTTGGACACACCTTAGTCTTCAAAGTGACAGCTTTGCTCTTCAGCACTTTTAAGAGGTCTTTTGCAGCAGAATTGCCCAGTGCAAAAAGATGTCTGATTTCTTGACTGTTGCTTCCACAGATGTTGATTGCAGATCAAAGTAAAATGAAATCCCCTAAAACTTTGAATCGTTTCCCATTTATCATGATGTTGCCTATTGGTACAGTTGGGAAGATTTTTTTTTTCTTTATGCTGAGTTGTAATCCATTCTGAAGACTGTAGTCTTTGATCTTCATCAATAAATATTTCAAGTCATCGTCACTTTCAGCAATCAAGGTTGTGTCATCTGAATATCACAAGTTGTTAACAAGTTTTACTCTAATCCTGATGCCTCATTCTTCACATAATCCAGCTTCTCTTATTATTTGCTCAGCATACATATTGAATAAATATGGTGAAAGGATACAACCCTATCACACTCCCTTCCTGATTTTAAACCATGCAATATCCCCTTGTTCTGGTTGAACAATAGCCTCTTGGTCTATGTACAAGTTCCTTATGAGCAAAATTAAGTATTTTGTAATTCCCACTCTTCACAATGTAATTTATGATCCACACAGTCAAATGCCTGTGCATAGTCAATAAAACATAGGTAGTCATCTTTCTGGTATTCTTTGCTTTCAATCAAGACCCTGACTGACCAGCAATGCTGTCTCTTAACCCATGCCTTCTTCTGAATCCAGCTTGCATTTATGGAAGTTCCCTGTCAATATACAGTTACAATCGTTATTGATTTATTCTCAGAAAAATTTTACTTACATGTGAAATTAATATTTTCCAATAATTTCCACATTCTGTGGGATAACTTTTCTTTGCAATGGGCACAAATATTGATCTCTTCCAGTCAGTTGGCCAGGTAGCTACCTTCCAAATTTCTTGGCATAAACTAGTAAGCACCTCCAGAAATGCACCCATTTGTTGAAACATCTCGGTGGGTGTTCTGTTAATTCCTGGGGTTTTTTCACCAATTCCTTCAGTGAAGCTTTGACTTCTTCCTTTAACACCATTTGTTCTTGATTATATGCCACCTCTTGAAATAGGTGAATATCAACCAGTTCTTTTTTGTACTGTGACTCTGTGTATTCCTTCCATCTTCTTTTGATGTTTCCTGCATCATCAATATTTTGCCCATAGAATCTTTCAGTATTGTAACTCAGGGTTTGAGTTATTTCTTCAGTTCTTCCAGTTTGAGAAATGCTGAGTGTGTCCTTCCCTTTTGGTTTTCTAATTCCAGGTCTTTGCACATTTCATTATAGAATTTTATTTTCTTGAGCTCCCTTTGAAAAATCTTTTGTTCAGCTCTTTATTTTGTCATTTCTCCCGATCACTTTAGCTACTCTCTGTTCAAGAGCAAGTTTCAGAGTCTCTTCTTACATTCATTTTAGTCTTTTCTTCCTTTCCTGTACTTTTAATGACCTTTCACTTTCTTCATGTATGATGTTCTTGATGTCAAACCACAACTTGTCTGGTCTTTAGTATTTGTTGTTCAGTGTGTCAAATATATTCTTGGTATGGTCTCTAAATTCAGGTGTGCTATGATTAAGGTTATATTTTGGATCTCATGGACTTGTGCTAATTGTCTTCAGCTTCAGCTTAAACTTTCATATGAACAAGTGGTGGTCTGTTTCAGTCAACTCCTGGCTTTGTTTTGACTGAAGATATTGGGCTTCTCCATCACCTCTTTCCACACATGTAGTTGATCTGATTCCTATGTATTCCATCTGGCAAGGTCCACATGTATAGCTGCCATTTATGTTGTTGGAAAAAGTGTTAGCAATGAGTAAGTTGTTGGTCTTGTGAAATTCTACCATGAGATCTCTGGCATCATTACTACCACCAAAGCCATATTTTCCCCCTACTGATGATTCTTCTATGAAATCTAGTGACATAGTGCCTAAGGCAGTTGACTGCTAAACAGAAGCCTGGTGGTTCTAATCCACCAGCTACTTCTCAGTAGGAAGATTGGAAATCTACTTCCATAGTGATACCACCTCAAAAATCAAATGAGGGATCACTATGAGTTGGATCCAATTCGACAGCAGTGAGTTTGGTTATAGTTTATGGATGATTCATATTTGTTTCCAACTTTTTCATTCCAAAGAGCAGTAATAATCAATACATCTTGATTGCATGTTTGGTTAATTTCAGACTGCAGAAGTTGGTAAAAAAAATAATCTTCAGTTTCTTTAACATTTGGCTTTAAATTAAAATTGGTGCATAAATTTGAATAATAATAGTAAGAAGCAGTCTCTTTTTGCCTACTTATCATTATCCTATGAGTATTATCCTATCACCTATAACATTGTACTGCAGAATAGATCTTTCGACATTCTTTTTGGCAATGAATACAATGTCATTCCTCTTCAATTTGTCATCCCTGGCATAGTAGGCCATATGTTTGTCTGATTCAAAATGGCCAAAACCAGTGCATTTCAACTCACTAATGCCTAGGATATTGATCTGTATATGCTCCATTTCATTTTTTACAACATCTGGTTTTCCTAAAGTCATTATTTGTACATTCCATGTTCCAATTATTAATGAATGTTTGCAGCTGGGTTTTTTTTTTTTTTTTTCCCATTTTGAGTCATGCCCCATCAGCAAATGAAGGTCCTGAAAGATTTACTCCATCCATGTTATTAAGGTCAACTCTACTTTGGAGGAGCAGCTCTTCCCCAGTCATTTTGAGTGCCTTCCAACCTCAAGGGCTCATCATCTAGCACTATATCAGACAACGTTTCACAGCTAATAATAAAGTTCTCCAGTAATATATCAGAGTATGTCACTGATATTTGTGTAAGGTTTCCAACAGCCAATCTTTTCAGAAATGAATGGCCCCATCCTTTTCCTAGTCTGTCTCAGTTTGGAAGCTCAAAGTAACTTTATGTTTAACAGAAACAGACATTGCCTGGTACTGGGGCATTTTTATGATCCTTGGTATGCTGGAGTCCACTGCTACTGCTATTGTATCCATTCATGTTATGGAAGGTTTCTCTTAGTTTCCCTGACCCTCCACTTTACCAACCATAATATCCTTTCTAGTAATGGTCTTTCTTAATAATGTTTCCAAAGCTAAAGTTAAATAGATTCTGGCTATAAAGTGGATAAGGGCTCTGGTGCCCCAATGGTCAAGCACTTAGCTGCTAACTGAAAGGCCAGTGGTTTTAACCCACCTGCTCTGGTGGCATAGTGCCTAAGGCATTTAACTGTTAATCAGAAGGCTGGGAGTTCAAACCCACAAGCTACTCCTTGGAAGGAGGATTTGGCAATCTACTTCCATGGAGATACTGCTTTGGAGACCCAAGGATGGGTCACTATGAGTCAGAAATGACTTGACGACAGTACTTTTTTTTTTCTTCTTCTTCTTTTTTCTTTTTTTTTGCTGTTACATGGAGCAAAGATAAGGCAGTCTATTTCTGTAAAGATTTACAGTTCTATTCTGTCCTATTGGGTTGTTTTGAGTCTGAATAGACTTGATGGGTTTTATAAAGTGGTTGACACAGAATCTGGA